GATACGCCAATGACTCATAATAAAAAGTTAGTAATTAATTAATTTCTTAGGTAGGTTAAAAAATTAAGAATTAAATTTCTTAGGTAGGTTAAAAAATTAAAAATTAAGTATTAAAAACTAAAAAATATGTCGATTTCTTTGATGGTATGTGTCATAAAAATACCTAACACCATACATTTATATATCACGAACTTGGAAAAAAGTAACAATAATACGGTTCCTTGTTTCGTGATACTGATTATTCCAAATTCCTCAAGTAAAATTCATGGATTATTGTCAAAATGTGTCAATTAACTATTATCTATCCCATATACAATACGAATAAACAAAGATAAATAAAACAAATCGAAATAAAACCAAAATTATGCTGGTACTACTTATGCTAATTTGTCTTAAAATTGGTCATTTATGTGAACTTCAAACTCGTGTCATATAAATTCTATTGAACGAAACATATACCGAATTTAGGTCATGAGAAACTTAAATAAATGTATTATTTGTTTCAGAACTTACATTTAAATTATCATAAATAATTATTTAAAAACCAAGCATCAAAATGTTATCCATAATATCCTTGATTCGGTAGTGTCACGAAATAGGGGACACCCGAAAAATAATATGTACGCTATTTCGTGAGTCAATTAATCGCAATTTTAAAGGAATTCTACGTTTTCATATAACTTTTTTCTAAGCCAAATCAATTGTCAAGGAACACATGAAACCACTATTACAAGTTTTATTTAAATGGACGTTCCTTCGCCTTTTTATAAGCTTAAGAAGTTGGAGCGCTAACCTTACGGTGAGATCAACCTTTTCAAGCCGCACGGATGTTTTTGGCTCTCTGAGAGTTTGAAGCTTCGTATTGCTCTCATTTTTGGCACCACAATGCTGGTACTTAGTTTTTTAGATAGCTTAAATAATAGAGTTTTTTTAGTAATGAAGAATTTTTACAAATAATATTCCATTTGCTTATTATTTGTGCTAGAAAAAAAACTTACGAACTTACGTACTATCACGAACTAGTAGCCGTTTACCTTATAATACGAAAGCGAAGTAACACCGTTATAACGCAGTTGTATAACGTTTGTATAACCACAAGCGAAATTCATTTTCATTGGAATTTAAACTTTATTTACATCGTAATTAATAAATACTGTAGGTACAACCTGCGTAGGTTACTGTTACTAAAATGAAACGACGATCAAAACTCGATTCAATGCCAATATTCGAAGCAAATATTTTATGTAAAATCGCTTTATAAACGCCTATATACAGAAAATAAATTACTTTTAGCATTATTGACAGTCTTGCTTCATTTTTCAGCGACATTTCATTAAAGAACTTAGAGCTTGCTCAGACGACGCGTTCTGACTCGCGCGATCGTGCGATACTAGAGGCTGACAGAATGTTTGAAACACTCTCTTACAGTCGTACGATTCGAAACGTGCGAGTAAAAACGCGTCAACTTGACAAGTTCACGATCGTTTTCTTTTCGAAATAGCAAAACTTCGCCGATGGCGTTCCATTCCGGGCGATGTATCTCCAACGGCTAATCCAGAGCAAGCAAAAGAATAATTAAGACGACCATTACGAAGGACACTCAAAGATGCGATTTATCCTCATTAAAATAATGTCGTCGCTACCATTAATCACCTCGTGGTCCATTAGTGCTGGAATTACGTTCAACGGACGCAGCGTCCAGGCGTAGCTCAAGGAAAACAGTTTACGCCCGTATTCACAAACGATGCTTGCTTAAGTGAAGCAGCAAATCGAACGTACAGTGTTGAATAGAGCTCTGTGACTGGTTCGTGTATCACCCTGTGTGTCCACGCGCACTGTGCGACATCATAGTAATGTTTATGAACACGGGCGTATCAACCCAGAGACTTTTTGTCGGGCGATTGTTTGGTTGGGCTGTTAATCAATTTGAACAAGTATGTAATGTACATTACACCTATTTGATATTGGCCTATTTCTCATACAAATTAGAAGCCGACCAAACTACAGGTCGACTTATTCTGTAGTCTGCGGGGTGTCAAACAGCGTATGTTACTAATAACGTACGTAACATATTTTTTCTCATATTGATTCACAAGTCTACAAATAATACTTTGTCTATTAATAAATCAGGATGGAGCCCACTGAAAACCAGCAGCCCGTGTTAATTGGTATCATTATAAAGGGCATAGCGATATAGAGTTACTTTTATTTCTCTTTTCTTTTTTCTTGTGTATTAATTACTGTGACGTCCCGTTGCAATATAAATTCTATCGTTATCTTGCCGTAGGGGTATATTATTGTGTTCAGATTTTAAAACATCAAAAATTGCAAATCCGCTACATTTATCAAATGAGTTGTCTGTTTTCCATGCTCTGTGTAACGGTGAACACTTTGAAAATTTTAAGGCGTTTTAAACAAAGTAATTTTGTTAATCCTGCCTATTAGAAGTTTCGGCCCATTTGCATTGTGCAAGGGTTCAGTAACTCAATTTGGACTCGTTTGTACAAAGCTTTTGTACATGGATCCCTACTCAATTCCCATGTTTTGCTGGTGTAAGTAAATATGCAATGTAACCCTCTTTATTCTATGGGTTAAAACCGCTTTTAGTTTATAAATGCTTTTTACTTTCCTTTTAAATTTTATTGTGATCAGAGGGAAGATTTTTTGTAATAAAATTGTAAGGTTAAGGTCATTTTAGCTTCACGTTTTATTGTTTTTGTTTCATTTATGAGGTTCGATTTCTCTCCCTCTGATAAGTATCGTATCTATTATAGTAATTCCCCCGGGAAAGACTCAACCATTATTGGTAGGATTTACTGGAGGGACTTGACTCTTCGTGACATTTTTATTCTGTAGGATGAAGCAAATAGTCCAGAATGTTGTTTCTATATAAATTGGACCTTAATATAAAACATAGGCTTTGGGTGATGTAGGAACAAAAAACAATAATAAATTCGAGCAATACTTTAGGCTGTTTCCTCCCAAATACTTTAGCAATACAAACGCAAGCTATTCCCAAATGACACGGCCCACTTGTTATCCCAGCCACCGTGGGAACTAAGACAGATTTTCTGCGTAGGCCCAAAGCCTTCGGAAAATAGTTTATCAATTGTCATATTAAAAAACTTTTTCCATCATCTCCCGATGCAAAGTTTCTAAATGAAGCCGTTACCTAACAAACCCACACTTTTTGCAGCAACAAAACGACATGGTGGAGCGAAACGAAGCCGTGTAATCCCTTTGAACGCGACTCCGCTCGGTTTAATGAACAGATTTACATTTACAGTTTTTAAGCCGGCTCGATCTGCTCAATGTTCTTAACCCTCTGGTGACGCGTGATGGTCTGTTAGACCATCGACGTATTCCACTTTGAGCACCCACCCAAATAGCACCTGCACGAAAAGCAGCTGGACATTCCACTTAGAACACCTATCGATATTTTGGATAGGTCTTCTAAGTGGAATTAGATTTATTTTTACGACGTATTCCACTTAGAGCACCTACAACACAGGAGCCTAGTGCCGGCTGCTAATGTATTTGATAGACCAGCCATTCTTTTCTACTGTGCACTTGGCACATTGGAATGACAGGGCTCTTGCCTACTCTCAAAAGAATCACCCCTTTACATTTATTGTGATTGTAATAATAATCATCAATTGTATCAGCCATAGGACGTCCACCGATGAATATTAATAAGCCCTAAATTTTCTGACTTTGTCACTGTTATCTACCGTAGGTACCGTCTTTTTTAAGGAAAAGGGATACCTTGACCCTAATTTAGTCAGGGTCTCCAGTAGGTTAAAGACGACCCTGTGACTATCGATAGACGTCCTTTTGATGACTCCATGCGTGGGTGTTTATGAAAGACTATATAGCTTCTGTCGGCACTCTAATGAAGATTTAAATATAGAACGGATAATTCTGCATCATTAATTATTATTATCTTCAATTGAAGATAACTGGCTGGCAAGTGCTTTAATTCAGAATCAATTTTGACTTTATGTTACCTCACAGTGGATATTAAATTTAAAATTTACCTTTTCATTTATTATAGTACTTAACGTTTTTTTTATATTTATGTTTATTACATTGTACGAGCACACTCGACATCTTATATTTCGCCGACACCGCATTTTACCGTCAACGCTTAACTCAATTGTTATAATATTTTTCAGTGCAATAAACACGCTCATCGGTGACGGACACTTTCATTTAACATTCCGCTCCCGAACAACTTATCCTATTTGTACTCAACAACTACATTCTAACTTAACAACATCAACATACCACTACTATCACCAAGTGTAAGGGAACTAACCCCTACATTTCTTCGAGCCGGATCTTTCATCANATACGATTTTTGGTTTTACAAAGGTAATACGATAGAAAATAATACAAAGTAATAAAAACCACCGGTTATAGGGGCATTTTTTGGAGAAATTTATCAAATAACCAAAAAAACACGAATTTAAAAGCAGATTTTTTTCATAAAGTATCATTTTTTATTATTTTTTGGCCTTTTTTGTGTATTTTATGTATGTTTTTAGTATCGCCTGTTATTTAGCATTATTACTGTTTTTATTTTATCAGGATATTCCGCTTAGTTTAAAAGTTATTACGTTTTCTTTACAATAAGTAATTGGAAGAAAAAAATTCTATAAAAAATTAAAAAAAAATCTCAAAACTTTTTTGACCTCTTTTTTGTCGATAAAAATAGGTTTAGTTTCATCTATTTTCATATGTACACTTTAACGTGACTCACACTGTATGTATAAAAATAAGTCGGGTTTTCCTTCCTGACGCTATAACTCCAGAACGCACGAACCGATTTCTACGGTTTTGCATTCGTTGGAAAGGTCTCGGGCTCCGTGAGGTTTATAGCAAAGAAATGTAGTCGACGCGCGCGAAGCCGCGGGCGGAAAGCTAGTAATAATAATAAAATTGAATATTTGGTAAAAAAAGTTTTTTATCCATATTATGATTTAGTTTAAGAGATAATTCAGTATCGTTTGAATTAATAATTACCTATAGGTATATATCTGTTGACGACTCCTGGCGATCGGTCCAAAAAGTGTCCCTCATTTCTGTAACATAAAATAACCAATCAATTAATTATGTTATTAAGTATGACACTAACGCCCGTATTCACAAACATTACATGAGATCTCACAGTGCGCGTGGACGCACAGGGTGACACACGAACCAATAGAGACAGAGCTCTATTTAACGCGGTGCGTGTGTGCGTTCGATTTACTGCTTCACTTAAGCAAGCATCATTTGTGGTTAGTGGGCATAAATTAAAATCATTTATAACAAGGGAATTTATAAGAAGGGAAACTGACTAAGCAAACATTCTTATAATTAAGAAAATACTTACGAAGCGCATAGGATTTGAAGTGGTCCTTTTATAACGCTTATTATTTCCTGGCAAGTGAAATCTTGTCCGTTTAAATGTATGGGAAACACTGCCACTAACTCTCTAGGTTTATTGAATTCCCAATCATAGAGATACCTGAAAAAGCACAGAATGTTAATTTTAGCTTAACAATATATTTATTCAATAACTTGGAAAAAAAAGGAAAGCCTACGTCTACATAAATAATATTCTTACAAGTAGACTCATACTTCTGAAATAGGTGCCTGATATATTTTTCTTTAGTATGAATAAGTCCAGAATTTACAATTCCCAACTAAAGTCCGGTTGCCAAGCACGTAGAATTTCGTCCAATAACCCCAAGCTACCCATCCTTTTCGCTCGCGCGTAATTATATTGCTGTCGCGACTGTGCGACGGGTGGCCCCAGTGAGTGTGCTTTCTTTTGTTCGTTGGACGAAATTCTACGTGCTCGGCGACCGGACTTTACCTAAAATAAGGCATACATAGCAAAAAAGATAACAAAAACTAAAGTGTGTATTATTTATATAACACAAGTACATATTCGAATCGATAAGTGAGATATTGATATTATGATGTAGTCTCTACAAATTTTTGGGTGTGTTGAAAAAAACAAAATAATACTTACGGACTTAGTGATGAAGTAAAGCAAGCTTTTTCTATACTCCGGTCATGCTTCTTAATTTCTTGGCACACGACATACTCATAATACCCCGGTGATCTGTAAACCCTTAGAGTGACGTCATTTATTTTTATGACATTCAGAGTAATTTCATGTTGATCATCTGATTCGTGATGTCCATCATCATTTTCTGAGTCGTCTTCATCACTTCTACGAACTGGGTCTTCATGAGCATTTCCTGGATCATTTTCTTTACCTTCAGATTTTACGTCACTATCCTCGAAAATAGGAGGCTCATTAGTCCCTACCGTCGATTCTGATCTTTCATTATTATTACTGTTCTCAGGCTCAGATTCAGTTTCACTGCGCTCATTATTGTTAACAGTCTCATTTATTTCAGTATTCGATTCTGCTTCGTTTTCATTTCCACCCTCTTGAGCTACTGATGGATTGCTTGCCTGATCAGCACTATTTGCAAGTGGGTCCTCAGTGTTTAACTCAGTTGCTTGTTCGTAAATTTCATCTGATGGTAGTGTGGTTCGACCTACAACACCGAGATCTGGGTCATCATTTTTTTGAGGCACAGGACTCGCACAAGTTAGGGATATCCCAACACATACTATAAGACCAACGCGTGCAAGCATCGTGACGATTGCAACATAAATGTAGCATGCCAATGGATCTGATTATTTATATTACAACTTATGTTTCCTTATTCTTGGGACTTGATGCTTTGCAAAGTGGGTTGAGTCAACCCACACCATTATCCTTAACTTATAATATTATTAGTAGTTAATTTTCCATTTGCAAGTTATTAATTTATACCAAATAGTGTTTGAGAATAAGTCGTTTATTTACTGTAGGCATTCAAAGTATTTTCAGTTCATTGCTCCGTTCCACAGGCCAAATTACCTATCCTTTTTTAGAAATCCATACTATACTCGGTGCAAAGACTCGTGACAGGCGGTGTATTTTGTACTCGTGGCAGGCCTGCATTACTGGATCCTGCAAAGCTGGATTGCCGGGGGACCGAGCCAAAAGACTTTTAGACATCGGTATTTAACTAATCAGAAAAAAATGGATTCTAATGCTGAAAAATATATATTTTAAAATCGATCTAGTAGTTAAGGTGCCTGTTCAATACAAAATAACAATTTATCTTTACTCTTTATAATATTGGTATAGATTAAACATTATAGCACCAATTAACATGTCAACATAGTAATGTCTATATGCGTAGGCAGTTAATCCTTCAGGGATGTTAATGATATTTAAATTCGTTATAAATATTTAAAAGTTATAAAGGAAGGATAACATATTCGCTGCGCAGTGGAAATCCGAATAATGAAGGCACAAGTATGTAAATTATTGTGTATCACTTATATTATATGTTTATAAACATTTATGTTACAAACAAACGGTTTTTACCAGATGTTTGCTCTGTTGACGATCTGTCTCATGCGGGTGAAGCCGCGGGAAAAAGCTAGTTTATCTATTAAAATAAGTAACAAGAGTAGTATTACTTTCGTTTAGAGGAAGGTAGAACAAGTAGTTAGATAACAGTAGGTTTTAAGGATAACATAATGAAGAAACAAGTATGTTAATTATTATATTTATGTATAACAAGATTTAACAATAAACGGTTTTCCCAGTTTTTTTGCTCTGTTGATAAGGATAAAATCTTATAGGTACAAAGTGTCTACACACAATATTCCTCACCTATCTGCTTTTATTCAAGAAAATCCAACAATTAAACAAAATTAAACAAGTAATAAATTAACAATTTATTTTGAAAGGTAACACTGATATTATTATTATAAGTAACTTTAATATTAAGATATAACAACAAAATAGTATGTTTGGTATTTAAGATTTAATTTACATAGGTGCCTACCAATATGGTTTAAGAAAGAATAAATTGGGTTTGTGTATTATTATCCCAATAAATAATTTATGATGATTTCTTATGATATACGATAAATTTCTTGAGACCATACGATTGCTTGAAATAGTGTTCCTTATTTCTGTAACATAAAAATATATCGAATCAATTTAAGTAAATAAATGAAGATAAGTTGAGTGCGGTATAGCTGCGGTAAATCATAACAACAGCAGTATAGCCATTAGTAGTAGGTACTATTGAGTATTGAGTATTGAAAGTAGTACTACCCAACATTGATGAAATAAAACGCGGCCATAACAGCGTATTATACTTGAAAATTTCGACAGGTTCATCCAGTGTCTAAGTAACTCAGTTGGTCGTGGGCTCGAGTCCCGCCTTAGACAGTTCGATTTTTCCAAGTTGTTTATTTAAAATGTAGTGTAGCCATATTATTCTTGTATTAGAAGTAATTATAAAAATACTTATACTTACGAAGCGCATAGGACTTGAAGTGATCCTGATAGAAGGGTTGTTATATCCTGACAAATGAAGTCTTGGCCATTTGTATGTTGACGGAATACCGACACTTGCTCCCTCGGATGGAAATCAAAGAAAAACCTGAAAGAAACAATTAATTCTAGAAGTTAATTCTAGCTTGTTAACTGATTTTAGATATATTTAATCAGTTATCCAATGAACTAATTTAAGACTTCTTTTTATTAAAGATTTGCATCCAGTAGGTAGAGGGAATTCAATCCCAACTACCTCAAAATAAAGAATACAAAGCAAGAAGACATGTATCTTTTCATCACGGGCTAAAGTTCATATTAACAAGTTAGTTACAAACTTACTAGTATTCAAGTAAGATGATTATGTGATGTAACTATCCCTACTTATTTTATGCGATAATACACTCAACATCAAATAAACCGCACCTTCCGCGACGCGAACTTCAAAGATTTTCTTTTGACACAATCATGGTGCCCCAACAATATTGGTGTTATTTGAAAGCCCAATAAATATCCTATAAGAAAAACACATTTAATTTCTTAATAAATTATTAACATATACCATAAATGTGACTTGAAAATAGACCTCACTTTGGGCTCACCTCTGGGATCAATTAGACCAAATTTAATGGTTATAAAACTAAATAATGATCACACGTATCTTCTTTAACAGATGGATAGCGATTAATCCCAACTTAACAGTTTTATAACCATAAAAGTTGGCACAAGCGTAACTCCCGATTTTTGAAGAAGTGACTCTGGATCCTTCTAAAGACACATTTTTGGAGTAAAAACCTTTCCTTTAATGAAATAAAGTTTAGAACTAGGCTTTTTAACGGTGCCAATATTGGTAGGAAGTGGGGATGCATACGTTTGAAAGTGCTTGTCGCGAGAGGTGCGATTTATTTGATGCCGAGTGTATTTTATACTTCCATTACTTACGGAGGTGGTGATGAAATGTAGCAAATTTTTTCTAAAATCTTGTCTTGCCTCTTAATTTCTTGGCACATGAAATACTCAGGATTCTCCGATGTTTTGTAAACCCTTAAAGTGACATCGTTTAATTCTATGACATTCAAATTAATTTGATGTTCATCATCCACGGATGAGGACCATGCCACGGGGTGGTCCTCATCTGAATCGTTATGTTCATCATCATCTTCTGAGTCGTCTTCATCACTTCCATGAACTGGGTCTTCATGTGCATTTCCTGAATCATTTTCATTACTTTCAGATTTTGAGTCGCTGTCTTCAATAGGAGGCTCATTAGTTCCAGCTCCTGATTCTGACCCTTCATCGTTTTTACTGTTCTCAGGCTCAGATTCAGTTTCATTGCCCTCATTATTGTTAGCAGTCTCATTTACTTCAGTGTTCGATTCAACTTCGTTTTCATTTCCACCCTCTTGAGCGACTGACGGATTGCTTGCCTGATCACCATTTGCAAGTGGGTCTTCAGTGGCTATCTCAGTCGTTTGTTCTTCAAATATATCTAGTGCTGGTGTTCGGTCTACAACATCTGGGTCATTGTTTTCTTGAGGCACAGGACTCGCACACGTTAGGAATATCCCAACACACACTATAAGACCAACGCGTGCAAGCATGGTGACGATTGTAACATAAATGAGGTATGCCGATGGATCTGGTTATTTATATTACCTCTAATGATGATTATAACGTTTGTTTCCTTAGACATGGGGCTTGATTCATGCAAAGTTGGTTGAGTCATTCCAAACCATTATCCTTAACTTATATTTACAAGGAATGTCTGTTTGTGAATTGTTAGTATTCGAGATTTAGTCATATGTTTCTTAGACATTCAAAATATACTTCACTTCTTCTCCATTCCACAGGCCAGATTACCCATTGTCTTAGAAATCCATACTGATGAATGGAATTTTTTACTGTCCTTTTATGTTTGAGCCATAAAATCGATTTCGATGAAATTTTATATAGAAATAAATAGAAATTGACACAGGTGAAGCCGCGGGCAAAAACTAGTATTTATTTATTTATTAAATTAGGTATTTTTACTTTATCAAGCTAATTAAAGCCAGTCTTAGCAATATTCATAAGATACCAATACAGTTCTACATGAAAACTAAATCAAAACTTACTTCTCAAGTAGGCAATTAGAGTCATTTAGAGGCAGATAGGAGAAGAAGGTAAATATCGGTAGGTTTTAAACTATTTTTTAACGTCTGAGATTGCAAAAAAAATACTTCACGATCTACTTATACTGCGATGGTAGGTGGATTTAAGACAAACTAAGCTTTTCAACTTGCATATTTTTAAGGATGAAAATGTTTATAACTTTGTAAGGTAAATGTGTACGAGCACACTCGACATCTTATATTTCGCCGACACCGCATTTTACCGTCAACGCTTAACTCAATTGTTATAATATTTTTCAGTGCAATAAACACGCTCATCGGTGACGGACACTTTCATTTAACATTCCGCTCCCGAACAACTTATCCTATTTGTACTCAACAACTACATTCTAACTTAACAACATCAACATACCACTACTATCACCAAGTGTAAGGGAACTAACCCCTACATTTCTTCGAGCCGGATGTTTCATCAGAACCTAAAGTGTGAACGTGTGTGATTAGTGATAAATCTGCGGTAGCGAATCGGTTTGTCTGGCCTCCCGGAAGAGGGAATCCCCGGGCAAATTGAGAGTGCGCACATATCGTAGAGGCATCTCTACCACATACCACACCACCGGAACAACAGTTCAACAACATCTCAACATCTGAAGCCACCAACTTGAACAACATGGAAAAATTACTTCAGAAACAACAACTCGTAACGGAAGGGATCGAGAAGATCGTGGTCAACTTTAAAAAGGACACCTCACGCCGCAAGACGCCGGAGTACGCCCAAAAACGCCTGGAAGCTCTGGAGTCGCTATGGAGTGAGTTTGAAATCAATCATAAACAACTTTTGCTGTCTGTAAACCAATCAGACGACTACTTTACTACCAACGCTTATCAAACTTTGAAAAGGACGTACCTATCCATGAAGGACGCCCTCCAAAAACTTTTGGAATCCAACATAACCGCTGAACAAACCGAGGCTGGAACATTGTCGAAATCGGACGAACTCATCAACCTACAGAACACCAACTTTCGAGCCTTCTCTCGTATGGTTCGCAACATTGACATTGAATCCATCACCGAGAAGTGGGAACTCGAAGACAAGCTACAAATGCTACAATCCCGTTGGAGAGTCATCGACGAAACACACTGGCAAATTGACAATGTTTTGATCGGTACCGA